TTGACATTAACATTTTTGCATTTGACAGACGCTTTTGTCCAAAGAAACGTACACTGTGTTAAGGGGGGAGGGGGGGTACATTTGTGAGAATTGTAAGATTTCTTTTTTTTTTTTTGGCGGATAGAAGCTTCCATAGTTTATAATATTCATAACTTGTGGGGGGGGGGGGGGGGGGGGGGGGTATTTGTATGATGATTTTATACATCAAATGTTCTCATGTTTATTTATTTAATTTTTGGAAACACTTTGCAATAAGGTTTCATTAGTTAACTATTGTTAACACAAACTAATTATTAATAATACTTTTACAGCATTTATTAGTCTTAGTTAATTTCAACATTAACTAATACATTGTTAAAATCAAAAGTTGTATATATATTTGTCAACATCAGTTAATGCACTGTGAGAACTAACATGAACAAACAAAGAATGACTGTATTTTTATTTACTAACATTAACAAAGATTAATAAATAGGCCTAATGTTTTACTCATTGTTAGTTCATGTTAGTTTATACATTAACTAATGTTAACAAATGAGACCTTATTGTAAAGTGTTTCCTTTTTTCTTTTCTTTTCTTTTTTTTTTTTTTTTTGTAATGACTGAGAAGTATTAATGTTACAAGATTTTTTGCTGGTTTCCAAAGTGTGATTTTTGGTTAATTGTATTTGACAAGCTGCACCATAAAAATCCATACCCAGAATTTGAACCTATTACAATGAGATTGAGGAAAATTCAAATCCATTTAGGCAACAATTTTTACCCGTATAAGAGGAAAGCTGTGTAGTCTCTTATAGTCTGCCTCGTCCTTCTTGCCATCAACTGTCTCTGCCATGATGTTTAGCTCTAGATGAGGAAACATCAACAGATGTAAGATACCAGAAATCATAAATCTTTTAATAAATCTAAGATGAGAATGGGAAACTGTGGTATCATTAATACCATGGTATTTTGATATATACCATAGTACAGAAAACGTACTTCAAAGAATACAATGACATTTCTATTATAAGGGTTTAATTTAATGACATGATATTACCATGGTAAGTTACATTGTCCAAACAACGTTAATACCATAGTACTTTTTGGATAATATAAATGTAATATAAAAGCATATTTTAAAGTGGTTACTAATAGTTCTGCATGTTTATGAAGCTAGCTTTGCTTTGGAAAGCAAACAGTATAATATTAGGAAACCTGCTAGCTTGTTAGCATTGTTAGCTCACTTGATTGACTCGGTCTCTAGCTTCTATTTCCACTAGTCGTTTCACTACCTAAGCATTTAACGTTGCATATAAACGAATCCGTAAGGTGTGAAGAGACATTTACGTACCGTAGTGAAAGAAAACTCAAGTTATGTGAGCTAAAACAGACGTCGCTAAGGAGACATGTCCACCATAGCAACCACTCCTGCGCGTCAGCTGAGAGCGTAGCCCCGCCTCTCGCAAAATTAAGCTCATCTTGATTGGTCCTTTGGCGTGTCGGTCAAGGAGTTCAAGAATACGTCATGCACCTGTATTTTGTCATTTGGCGAGATTTTCTTTATTTCGTAATGTCTGTTGGGACAAAGCATGGAAAATGCACATTAAATACGTATCTGAAAATACTACATAGGATTTATACAGTTAAGAATGTTTTGGGAAAAAATGAAACAATTTGAATTTGTTTTTATTATCATTGCATTTACTCAAGATTATTTTGGAAGGATTATTTTGAAAGAAAACTGGGGTGATATGGAATGTAAAGATTAAAAGGCTAAACATCATGCAATGTTTTTAATTTGATTAAGAAAATACAGAATTCACAAGAAGTTGGATCTTTGCAATCCACATTTATACATTTTATAGCAAGCAAGCACATTTTATTCATATAGCACTTTTCCAAACAAAACAATGCTTTACTGGCAAAAAAAGAAACAATAGTTTATAGACTTAAAATTATAAATAAAACTTTTGGAACAAACTTAAAACAAAACTAAAGCAATGAAAACATGTAATATTTTAAAAGCACTGGAATGTTATGTAACTTTTTTTGTCTGGCAGCTAATGCTGTTAATAATGTAGGTTAATACCTCTTATTGTGGCATTGAGTAATAAATAATGGTCATTTCATTGGTATATTTTTGGAAAAGGTTACTTTAAACATTCAACGGATCACTTATGTATAAAGTCAGCATTAATCAGAAGTTATGGTTGTCTTTAATTCCCTAATGTGACGTATATCCGCGTGAAATGGCTTCTCAAACAAGAACAAATGGGTGGGACTTTTGTTTATTGCGAACTGGTTTGCTATTGGTTGCCCCGCCCTCATGCCAGTAAACGCATCATCAAAGAAAAGAAGAGATGTCACTGCAATTTTGACTTAGGATTACAGGGGCATGTAGATTTAACATAATGATGTGCACAGATAAATCATTTATAATAAATACTAAAATATTCCATAAAAAAAAAAAAAAGAATTGTCAACTTTCACAGTGACTTTAAAATATATAATAAACATTATTACTTGCAAAAAAACTCTTTAAAAATAATTCACCCAAAAATGAATATAAGCTATGTTATTATTTACTTACCTTCATGTCATTCCAAAACTTCACGCTGCATATTAACACATATTTTATCCACACAACAAGTAAATGAAAACAGAATTGTTTTAGTAAACTATCCATTTAAGCTCAGTATTTTATGAGCACAGACAGCATCTGTGTCAGAAAACTGCCCTCTAGATGCTGCATCTGTCCCACTGCATTCATCTTTGTTGTTTTCTCTCACTTTTTACTGACCTGCATTAAGCTCTAGATACATCTGTGCACAGCTGCTGAGTTTGGCCCAGATAACTGTCACACTGATCTGAGACCTGCCAGCAAGAGTTTACAGTTATATTATAATTTACACTACTGCAGTACTGTCATTTTTTGTAAAATAATCACTTACTTGACCAAATAAAAACCTTTTTAGTTCCCCATTTCAGTCAAATAAAAGGCATGAATTATAGCTCTGCGGTTAAAAGTTAACAGCAGATAAACTTCACACCAGTGCAATAAAGCTTGTGTGTGATTTTAAATACTTTCTCCTATATCCCAATTTAGTATATTCAGGGACAGCGTTAAGCTAGCCATTTGTAGGTTAGGATATGCAGTATTTAAATGCATTCGGATTTTGCGGCACAGCATTTGATCATCTAAAAGCTTTCCGTGAGTTTCCCAGACAGACCATGCTTTGATTTGTGGATTATAGGGGATTTTCAGTTACTAGATAGATTTACAAATAAAAGCAGGGGGAGGGGATAATCTAACCTCTGATGTGAGCAAGAATATAAAAGGAGGTTAAGAATGGTACCTTATGAGAAGGAGAGAAGAGGCTTGCAACAGATGAGAGTCTGGCTGCACATTGAACACAGTGACACTTACTAAAAAAGAGTCACTTTATGAATGTGTCAAACAGATGCTGCAGGGAATAAAGGTAGCCTTTGTACACCATCCTTGTTATGGTATTATTTTTTATGTGATTTTGTTTTCTTGCCCAGTTGCTTGTTTATAATTTAACTTTAACATATAACTTTAAACATTATTGAAAAGATGAAATTAAGTGAAATGGCAAATACAGATTGTACAGAGCAGAGGAAATGCACACAGAGAGAGAGAGAGAGAGAGAGAGAGAGAGAGAGAGAGAGAGAGAGAGAGAGAGAGAGAGAGAGAGAGAGAGAGGGGGAGAGAGAGAGAGAGAGAGAGAGAGAGAGAGAGAGAGAGAGAGAGAGAGAGAGAGAGAGAGAGAGAGAGAGAGAGAGAGAGAGAGAGAGAGAGAGAGAGAGAGAGAGAGAGAGAGAGAGAGAGAGAGAAGGTTTCTGGTGGGAGAGAAGCTTCAGGGGTCTGTGAGTGTGATGGAGGGGGTGATTAACACACATCTATTATTCAGCAGCAGCATGGAGAGAGTGAATGAGAGGATGAGAATGAGAATAACCAGGATTTGCATAGATTTTCATTCTAAACATTGAGCCAATTATAATCTCATTGTGCATGTACAGTGTTACTTCATGTATATGTTTCATGTTTTGCTTAGGATTGGTCTAAGGAGTAGTGAATAATAAATCCACTTTAAACTCTTATAACAGTCATGATCAATAGATAGATAGATAGATAGATAGATAGATAGATAGATAGATAGATAGATAGATAGATAGATAGATAGATAGATAGATAGATAGATAGATAGATAGATAGATAGATAGATAGATAGATAGATAGATCGAGTAGATAGATAGATAGATAGATAGATAGATAGATAGATAGATAGATAGATAGATAGATAGATAGATAGATAGATAGATAGATACCGGTAGACAGATAGATAGATAGATAGATAGATAGATAGATAGATAGATAGATAGATAGATAGATAGATAGATAGATAGATAGATAGATAGATAGATAGATAGATAGATAGATAGATAGATAGATAGATAGATAGATAGAAAAAACAAGAATTCTGCTGTTAAGTTTCATGACATTTAAAAAGTAAACATATATACAGGTAGACAAGACAATGCACTCTCATATTTATTTTCTTCACCTTTTTAATATTTTCATCCACATTTGTCACAAAATCATTGTAGATCCTTGGTGGTGCAAATATGAAGAAGCACTACACTGACATTACAGCTGATCATCAACCAATAGCAAGAGTCAAAGAAACAGACAGGCACTTCCCTAAGCTTTTCTCTGTGATGGGGCAAGGAGGGCTATAGGTGCAATGCAAAGGTAACACGACAAGATGCTAAATACTGTTTTACATTCATATTTTCATAGTGAGTGGGCTGCACATCAGATCTTCAAAATTTAGTGTGACGTTTAAGATACTAAGCTTCAAATAACACGTTTTGGTTCAAATATTTTTGGATCTCGCTGAACATACATTGCAGAGTAATGACCCATTTCACCAGATGCAAAAATATCAACATTTTAAGACATGTTCTGATAAAGATAAGACGTTGTACACCTTTAGGTGCTGCCGGACTGAAAAAGCAGTGTAATAAAAACAAGTAAGCAAAAGGCTGCTCTGGGAAAGAAGCGAAAGCTCCACTTTACACAAATAATGAAACAAGAGCAAGACAAGTGCTGTGATAATGAGCCACATCCATCTTATTAAAACATTCTCTAAATATGAAGGGACCACTGTGCGGTAATGCTTTAAGAAGAAGGGCATGAAATAACACAAGCAACACGAGACACAAACAGGCCTTTAAAAGCCATCGGCAGCAGCTCTATCCGAACGAACACAATCACACACACACAGACAAATCCCTTCCCTGCAGAAACGGACACTCAGAGAGAGTGTAGCTCTACGGTAAATACATTCTTTAACTAGACCGGGACCACAGCACAATTGTCATACATTTCAAGCCTTTTTTTTCTTATTTACCACCTCCTTAAAAAAGAAAGGTATGGTCCCGTTCATTGCCGGGGATGGGAGCTCTGAATACAGGGGTCCACATGGTCCTTGACAGCCCCACCAAACACGTCCACATCTCGGTCCGTCCAGGGCACCACGTTCCCCAGCCGCGGCGATTCTGGGCAAGCCGCCAGAGCGGCCACTTCTGTTGGCGACAACACCCGGTCCCAAAGGTTAAATAATGAAAGCTCCCCAACAAGAGCCTGGGATGCATCAAACCGCCCACCAAGGGTGTCCTGCAGTGAAGCCAAGGAGAGCCGAAGGGTTACACATCGATATACACATTTGCATCAAAAATAATGTGCAAAAATGGTACCTTCAAGGAACAACACATTGTCAAAGGGGTAGTACCCTCAAAGCTACACCTTTGTACCTTAACGACTCCTGAAGGACGCAAACAGTGTCAGGGAAAAAAATTGCAAAAATTGTACCTTAAGGGGTAAAACAGTTTGTCACTGGTGCACTAGTAGCTTAGAGTTGAAAAATTTACCATTTAGGGCACTACTATGAAACTTGTATGGGGTGCAAAGGGTACTGCCCCATTGACAAGCTGTTGCACGCCTAAAGGTTCAAATTTGAGCAATTTTTTCAGAGAGTGAAGGGGTACTTTCAAGACTCTTCCAGAACTCCCTGTTTTGCTCACCTGTTCCTGTCCCAATACCAAGACGCCCCCGGATTTGATTGGGTGCCATGCGGATAACCCTTCACCCCGTCCTCTCAACTTTCCGCTTTGATATGCTTTCCAAACTCCATCCCGTAGGGTCCAACTCACACATATGTGCTGCCAGATGCCCTGCGGCAAAGATAGAGGCAGCTGTGCCACCTGTAAATGGAGGGAACGGTTGAGTCCATCAACTGTATTCTGCAAGGTTGCTGCGAATGGAAGGTGTGGCGGGTCTTACCTTATCATTGATGAGTAGTTCTGCAGGATTATGAATTCCCTGCAACAGGACAATTTCATTGGGTTGTTCCGGTATAGCATAGGAAAATGGTGTCCCAATTCCACTCTCGGCAGGCTTGAGCCACAGACATGCCGTGAAGGCGTACATCTCTGGAATATTCCGCCTGACAAGCCCATACATGTAGTTAGTCCGCACGGGGAAGGAAAGTTTATACCCTTGGGGGTAACTGTAATCTGTAAGACCTGAGGAGAAAAGATTAAGAGAATGAGTTTAAAATCGAGAGACAATTTCCCCCCATTTCGCCTGTGTTGGACCCAACCCTCCTCCTTACTCTGTTCCAGCTCTGCAATACGCTCTTGCAGGGTGTTGAGTCCCTGGTCGATGTGCTGGTGGTGGCTCTGGGTCTCTTTGCGCAGGTTCTTCCTCTCCTTCTCCAGCAGTCTAATCTTCTTTTCCAGCTCTCCCTCCAGATCCTCCACAGGCCTGCCAGGCTCGCCCACCACTACGCTCCCCAATGTGCTCACAGTGTGCTCAGTGTGGTTCAACGCTGCAGGGCCGATTTCCAACTGAGAGAGAATTATGCAAGAGGTCATTATTGCAAAACCTAATTTATCCTGTTTAGCATGTTTATCTGATTATATTAGATTAATTTGCATTACAAGAACTTAAAAAATGATGTGCTGTTGAATTAGAAAAACTTTTCGCATTCAAAGAGAGCAAGAGCTGATGTTAGTATTATTTCTGACCCTCAAACACCTATTATATGTTTTTAGAAGACTTGAAATATGATGTATGAGTTATACAAACTACTTTTTAAATTATTTTTTGTTGCTTTTACATCCTTTTGGAAGCTTGAGCGCTCCTAATTGCATAGAAAAGAGCGATCACAACATTCTTCAAAACTTATGGTTCCTCAGAATAGAGTCATATGGCTTTGGCACGACAAAAGGTTGAGTAAATTCAATTCACATTTATTTGTATAGCACTTTTCACAATACATATAGTTTCAAAGCAGTTTTGCAGAAAATGCATGTTTCAATTATAATGCAATTTTGCCCTAATGAACAGGATATCTAGCATAAAATCAAGATATTACCTTTAACCTCTTTAAATGATGACACCATTTTCATTATTGACTATACTAATCCGTAACATTGTTATTTATGTATTTTATTATTTTAAATATTTTAAAATAGCTTATATTTTAAATTTTCATTTAAATTTTACTTTTTGTAATTTTTTTATTTTTTTTTTTATATTTCTATAGCTTTAAATGTATTTTTTATGTCAGTTATAATTTTAGCAATTTTAGTACTTCAACTTATTTAATTTCAGTTAGTTGACCAGTTTTCCCACATGATATTTATATTTTATTTTATTCCAGCTTTATTTCAATTAATAAAAAACGATTTTTTTTTACTCTGATCCATAAATCTATATCACAACATCTACAAATCAGCTGAGAACCTGTACTATTCTCTCATCCCTCATGATTTATGCATATGCCTTTCAGGAGATGAACAAGATGGAGGGGAAAGGAATCAATGTCAAGGTGAGAAAGAGACACAGAGACATACTACAATATCTATGAACAGGGACACTTCTCCCCAAAACCCCCAAGCATTTTGATGCATCTTTGCAAACAAGTTTATTTACAAAACTGTTTCCCCTGCCCCATGGCACCAAATTCCCTTTCAGACAGAGAATTATACAGACAAGTTTTAAAGAGTTTATTAATATTACCAACCTCCAACTTCTCTATGCGATCTTTAAGTTGAAGAATCGCTCTCTCCAGTTCCTCCACAGCCCGCGCCGTCTGCAGCTGCACTGCAACCGAGCTGCTCACATCATCCCCGGCCATGTGGCGCCGGTTGCTCGCCCACACTCCCATACTCCGCTCGTGCAGAGTCCTCTCCTCCAGTCCGTTCTCACACTCCGTGAGTTTCCCGGTTAGCTCCGTGATGGTCCTCTGGTCCATGAGGATCTGGTCGTTTTGTTGCATGACGATCTGTCGGAGCTCCTCAGCAGTGGTGCGGAGGCTCCAGTCCTCCTCGTCGGCAAACGGGTCATCGGCTTGTTGTCTCAAATCCCTCGATTTGCAATCACTGATGGGAACAGGGGTACAAATGAGTCGATCGAGGGTGAACTGCTTGGGACTCGGCCCAGTCACGTCCCCAGTGCTCAATTCATTGAGCGACGGTATCTCCAGGCCGATGTCCAATCCGCCTCCTTCATAGGATTCAGCACCATGGAGAGCTCCGAGCGGGCCGGCGCGCGCCACGGATCCCGGCAGCGGCTCCAGCAGTGAGAGCGAGCGGTTGTCGGAGAGCGCCTGGGGCGCAGCGGCGGATGATCGCGAATACACGCTGGCGATGATGCAGATGACCGCGCCAAGAAAAGCCAGGAGGCCGGCGGACACCAAAACCACGACGAACTTCATCGCGCCAATTGAGATTTACAATAAAAAGCGCTGAATGTACCTTTAAGGGTGTTTAATAATTACAAAACAAAATGTAAACGATATCACATTCAGTTTTCTCCATCAGCAGCAGGTGTGGATGAAATGAAGGTCGATGCATCGGTTGTTTTTCCTTCGTTCTCGGTAGATGATGCTGCGCCTCCTCCTCTCGTGTTGCTAAGCGCCCCTCTGGCCGGTTACTATGGCTACTGCGCGCGAGACTGTGATAAAAATGCGTGATGTGTCACATTATAGATGTAATAAACACCTTTTGGTCTCTTCATCATCTATGAATGCTTTGGCAGAACATGCGAACAGACCGAGATGCTGAAAAGAAAATGCATGGCCTATTAGAACATATAATGAGTGAATAAAATTGTTATACCAAAATTTAGTGATTCCATTTTGAACACAAGCATTGTACAATGTATGTATAACTTTTAAGTTTACCCAATATATCTTATGCTCACCAAGTTTGCATTTATGTGATCAAAAATACAGTAAAAACAGTAATATTGTGAAATAGTATTACTATTTCAAATAAAAACTTTCGAATATATTTTTAAATGTAATTTATTCCTGTGATCAAAGCTGCATTTTCAGCATTATTACTTATTCTATGATGATTTTATAATTATATAATCAAGAAACATTTCTGATGGTTATTATTAATGTTGAAAGCATGTTGTGCTGATTGATATTGTTGTGGAAACCGTAATACAACTTTTTAGGGTTATTTGAATAGAAAGGTCAAAAGAAGAGCATTTATTTGAAAGTCATTTCAACAATGTAAATATTTGTCACTCTTGATCAATTTAATGCATCCTTGCTGAAAAAAATGTATGCCTTAAAAAAAAAACAGTAGTTTATGTGTGTGTGTATTTATCAGGTATTTATATATAATATAAATATGATACTGTATATAGAGTATATTTTAGACACAACATTGCCAATTATTTTGTCTATTTTCGCTCCATCACCGACAATAGTACCAAACAAAGCCAAAGCATATCTCTATTCTGAGACAGTGAATAGTTATTCAGTAACTCGTCGCCTCGTTTCATTCCTGAATGAATTTATATTGATCGAATCTGCTGGATAAATGATGACTCTCTCATAAAGAGCAGCCAGTCATCGCCACCTACTGTCGTATCGCCGTAAACTCCAGATATAGATTTGTAACTGTGGAAAGTGGAAGTGAGAAGTGACCGCTTTACACGGGACACTGTTGGCTGTAGGGCTTAAACTGCCCTAAACCGGCTCCATTGCTTCCCTCCCCGACGGACCTCTCCCACTCGTTCCCAAAGTCTGCCCTTATTCACTCTTCACCCTGCAGTCACCTCATGAAGAATACACTGAAAATAGACTAGGCTATAACCAAATTTACGCGGGTAAAGTCGCTCCCATGGTCTTGGAGTCGTGACTACGTTTTGTATGCACTAAATACAACTTGAACAATCATAGCGAAAATTACTCACTTGAAAAAGGGCAACATTTAAGAAAAGAAAAACTCGTAAACAACGACCACAATATTTAGAATCCTTCATATGCAAAAATTCCAGTAAAGAAAACGTAATTGTCCGAATAAGTAAAATAAAGAGTCCCAAAAATAAAATAAAACGTGGAAATAATAATAAAAAAAAAGTTCAAGTGAGCAAATTACACTATGTATATATATATATATAAAAGCTTTGACGATTTTTTTAAAGGAGTTTAAGAACAACATTTGAAGCATTATATTAACCATGCGAAATTATGTAATATGACATATAAAAGCTCAATTATAAAATAAAATATTTTTAATATATAAAATATGCCCCGTCATGACAACAGTTGTCTTCACAAATGCTTTGTCTGTAAATATATTTTTCATTTGCAATTTTTGTAAATCACAAATGCAGATTCAAGTCTTTTTTTTAACTTGAGGTCAGTGCTGATTTATTGAATTTGTCTTATTAAAAAAAACACATAAGTGTCATTAACAATCTGCTAAAGTATGGATGCAGTGCATTGAAATTATAGAGGTGCACAAACACAGTCCAATATATAGACTACCTATCAACAAATGATCAAACCTTTATTTATTGAAATGGTTGAGGTATATCTTTAAAGACATATCTATGGGTGAAAAAACAAAAACAATTACCAAAACAGAAAAAAATACATCAGTCTTTTTATGACTCCAAATGTAAGCTGATGTAAGCTGCTTCTTATCCACTCAGTGTTGCTCTGCTTGTATTATTAAAGCCATTAATGTTCAATATAAATAAAAGAAATCTTCAGCTGCATCGAATCGCTGCATGAAAAATACTTTCTCCACAGAGAAAAACAAAGACGTCCGCTGGGCTGGTCAGAAGTCCAGCCACTCAACCATGTAAACACAGTTAGATGGAGAGATTTCACCCCCTTCATGACAGTCATCGAACACCTAGAACACAAAGAGTTAACTTAGCACATTAAACCACATGATGTAATCAACTAAAATATGTTTTATCCTATTTATTATTAGGGCTGACAACTTTGTGCCCCAATATATTGAACTTTAGGAGCAACCTAACAGCGATCTATAAGTTACATTATGCAGTGAATTGTTGCCCATGCATGTTTGTCACCAATCAACTGTAAGAAATATAAGATGAACTACATAGGTCAGAGATGGGGCGGGTGCATTAAATGTGTTAAGCATTTTAACACATTATGTTTTCCATAATTTATTAATTAAATTAACATGTTAAATTCGGACTTTTGATGATTTATTCGAAATATATCAACATTACCGGACACAATCCACATGGTGTTTTGACCAGGCCTGTGGGTTGAATTATGGGATTCACTCCCCTGTAGAGCTTCATCTGTCCATCGACACTCCCCACCGTCCCCTCTTTAGCAGCGATTATGGTCATCTCCACCTTGCCATCAAAGATCAGTGTGTTTAGGATGGTCTCGATGTCCTCCATGGACAGATCTACCTGCGCACAGGAACATCACCATATAATAAACCTACTCAGCTCACGTTTAATAACTCTGCAGTATTAAGGTATTATTCCCACTCACTTTGCTGATGCCGAGCTCACAGATGTACTTCCACACTTCATGAGAATTGGCGAATGAGCTGTTTCTTTGCACCATGGGGCTCTGCTTACTGTCTCTCGCTGCTTCGGCCTAAAAACAAACACATTTCTATTAACTCTTTCCGGTCATTGGTGGAATTTTCTGTCATTTACGACACAATGCTTTCCCGCCATTGACGGATTTTTTCCTTCGTTTACAACACAACGATGATGGAATTGTCCATAATTTACAACAGTTGTGTTTACCGCCATTTAAATGATTTTTTTTGTCATTTAGGACACAACACTTCCCTGCCATTGAAGAAATTGTCCATCATTTATTAGGGATGTCCCGATCCGATCACGCGTCACGTGGTTTCAGACTCGATCGGAATCGGACGTTACTTCCCGATCAGGACTCGGATATATGTAAATTAGGGGTGTAACGGTACATGTATTCGTAATTATTGAACCGTTTCGGTACGAGGCTTCCGGTTCGGTACGCATACAAACCGAACGATTCCTAGGACCATTTTCCCTGCAGACAAAATCCACGCTGGCGCGATTACCACAACGTTGCTCAACATCAAATGGCAAACGTAATGAAAGCGGAACGAAACTGCGCTACTCATTATATTGTGCTTAACGGACCGTTTATCAGTTCGGACCAGCAACATCTGTGCAGCGCGAGGTCAAGCGACACTGTGCTAAGAGATCCAGTGAAGAAAACATTTGAATTCGCCACTGAAGTAATAACATCGCTGCGAGATCTAGTGAGAAGCATTCACATTTCTCCGTTATTAACCGTAGATCTCTATTAGATCAAACAGCGCTGACGTGGGAACCAGGAGAAACATTGTACCGTGAATGAACATGGATTTAATGTTGAACTTCAAAACTCAAATATTATATAAATATATATTTAAATGTAATTTTTAACGTGATTACCAAAACATTATTTGTTCATCCTTCAAAGATTACCCCCATTTATAAACCTGAAAGTTTCAAGATGTAGGAAAACTCAAACTTATTTAAAAATAGTTTTTCTTTTAATAAATAGGAAATTTCTCTGGCATTTCTTTCTTTTTGCTGTATCGTATCGAACCGAACCGCAAATTTTGTGAACTGTTACACCCCTAATGTATTCTCATTATTTTTTTATACACTTTTAAAACATTTTTATTTTTTGTTTACATGACTGCCGGGTATTTTAAGTTGAGGTGCTATTTGTTTTTATATTAGACTTTTTCTATATTTACTGTTGCACTAAAATCCAAAAGTGAAGATTTTATGTTATTTATTACTTGATTGTTCAAGCTACCTCACAGAAGTGCTCTGTTTGTTAACAGATTTGTTGAATGTTAAAATAAGGTGAATTAAATAAAAAATAAGGAACATTCTGGATCTGTTTTTTCCAGAGGTGGGAGTAAGTCACACATGTGCAAGTCACAAGCAAGTCTCAAGTGTTAACCTTCGAGTCTCAAGCAAGTCCAAGTCAATTTTTTATAAAAGCAAGCAAGTCAAGTCAAGTCACTGCCTTATGTCAAGCAAGTCAAGTCAAGTCGTAGCTTGGGCCACAAGTCACTGGCAAGTCATTCAAACGTTTGATAATTTCACTGAATTTATATATTAAAATGAGTTAAAACTACATAAGTTGTGGACCATGGTTTTATTTGCAGCATATTTTTTTTAAATATGCATTTCCACATACAGCTGAGTGGTTACTACAATAAAAATCTAAAAAATAAATACAATTTCAAACTACATAGCCTAAAATGTAAATGTAACTGAAATTAGGCCAACATTAAAGCATGAAAAAATAAATATGCCTCAAACATTGCAGAAGACCATTAAAAGGTATTAAACAATTCACAATTCAAGTATAATGGTTCCTATGCCACCAAATGGCATTCTTCAAACTGGCATCCCCTTTATATAAGTTATATAACAGCCGTTGGCATTTAGCCTATTATGAAGTTAAAACCGCCAATAGGTGGCGCCAAATCACCGTCTTAATGTACGAGTCATAGAAGCAGTCAACTGATTTGTTCAAAATGACAGATTCGTTCTGGAACTAAGCAACTAGGTCACTGAATCACAAATATGCATAACTCTTTCTGTGGCTTGTTTGGAACTATTGTCATTGGAGAAATAGAGCAAAAACAGAAA